GGCTTGTGTGTTTCTGTGTCCTGCACCTTCACTGCCCCGTGGACCTCTGGGATTTCTATCCCTACATATGGCTCCTGGTTCCCAGAAGAAGCTAATGTATTCCACGATGCTGCTGTGGCCACAAACAACCCGTCTCATAAAGTGCAGGAGGAGACCCAGGGCCGATTCCACCTCCTCGGGGATCCCCAGATCAAGAACTGCTCCCTGGACATCAGAGACGCCAGAAGGACAGATGACAGATTATATTTTTTTAAGGTGGAGAGGGAACATTCCCCAGGGTTTAAATATTCTTACAAAGAGAACATGCTCTCCGTGCGAGTTACGGGTAAGGAATGGGCTCCAGGAAAGGCCTTGGGAGAAGATCATAGTGGCCCCTGGCAGGGCTGGAATGGGACCCCATCTGGAAGGGGGTTGGGGCACAGTGTGTTGGGCTCAGAGGAGGAGCTGAACCAAAGCCCAAGGCTTTTCTCAGGGCTGCATCTGGGGCCCTCCCTCCTGATCCCCTGTCTCCCCCTCCTCACCAGCCCTCAACCACACACCCCACATCCTCAACGCGGGGCCCCTGGAGAGCGGCCATCCCAGGAACCTGACCTGCTCTGTGCCCTGGGCCTGTGAGCGGGGCACACCCCCCATCTTCTCCTGGACATCAGCTGCCCACACCTCCCTGGGCCCCAGGACCCGCCTCTCCTCTGTGCTCACCCTCACCCCACGGCCCCAGGACCACAGCACCAACCTCACCTGTCAGGTGCATTTTCCGGCCGCTGGTGTGACCGTGGAGACAACCCTCCAGCTCAACGTCACCTGTGAGTGCTGGGTTGGAACGGCAGGTCCCTGAGGGTGTGCAGAGCAGGAGGGCCAGGCAGGTGTGCTGGTTGCTTTGTTCCAGAGGCCTGGCTGTGTAGGGGACCTCGAGGACACAAGCTCTGCCCCACTTGCATTTCTGTGGTCTCTGAGGATGGAAGTGCAATGCCTAAAAAATCCTCACCCCATCTCAGCTCACTGACGAGCAAACTCCTCTCTTCCTATCCCAGGTGCCTGGCAGAACCCAACAACAGGTGGTTGTCTAGGAGACAGCACAGGTAAGAAGGGGGCCATCATGGGCTGTAGGGAGCAAGGCCGTTTCCAGATCAGGACAGGGCCGGACCCTGCATCTTCCTGGACTAGCCCGGAGACCAGACACCCCCTGTGGATGAACCCAGTGGCCCCTCTTCTTCCTTAACCCCCATGGCCGCTGTGAGCAGCTGTCCCCATTTGCCCCTTGCTCCCCAAGGACTTCTCCCAGCCCCTGTCAGCTGCACCAGGAGAACTAGGCACCTTCCACATGGCTGAGTTGCCTCTCAAGGCCCTTTTTCTTCATCTCCTGACGAATCCTCCAGGCTCATGTTTTCATTTTCCTCCAATAGTTTAATTTATGTATTTTTGAACAAGCAATATAGTCACATGGCCAATAATGAAGGAAGCACTGAAGTTGGCCCTGGCCAGGTAACTCAGTTGGCATGTACCTGGTTGTGTGCACATCTTCTCTAATGGAGATCAAGGGCCTTAAGGGGTTGTCCGAATAATAGTCCCTTGTATGGATGTATCACATTCCGTTCTTCTGTTGATCAGTTGATGGACGTTAGGGTGTTTCCAGTTTTGGGCGGTTATAATACCGCTGTGAACTTGATGTACGTTTTTTGTTCAGACATGTTTTCTGTTTTTTAGGTCATGTACCTGGGAGTGGAATTGCTGAGTCATATGGTAGTTTCTATGTATAGCTTTCTGAGGAAATTCTGGATTGTAGTCCATAGTGGCAGCATCAGTTTACATTCCTACCAGCAAAGTATTAGGCTTTCAATTTCTCCACACAATTGCCAACATTGGTATTTTCCTTTTTTAAAAATCATAGGCTACTAGTGCGTGTGAAAGGCTACTTCAACGTGGCTTTGATTTGCATTTCTGTGATAATTATGATGCCCCTTTTTTTCTCACAGAATTATTGTTCATTTGTATATCGCCTTTAAAGAACATTTTATATCAAATCTCTGCCCATTGTTTAATCTGGTTCTTTGACTTTTTGTTGTTGAGTTGTAAGAAATTGGTATATGGGCGGGTTATTAATGCTTATCCAATCTATAGCTAGAAAATGTTCTCTCTCATTAAATGGGTTAGTTTTTCATTTTCCTCATCGTGTCCATTGATCAACAGAATGTTTCAATTTGATGAATTCCAAGTTACACCTTTCCATTTCTGTCCAACTGCTGGGGACCAGGGCGGGATCTAGGGTGAGAGCCCAAATGGTCCCGAATCCTGTGATGCAGGAACACCTGGAGAACGACATCCAGGGTCCTACTGGGAGCAGTAGGACACGGGAATGTGGTGGAGCAGATGACTCCATCCTCATCCCTCTTTCCTGCAGGATTATCAGGACCCAGGACTGAGGTGGTGCTAATGGTCATCGGGGAAGCTGCTGTCAAGACCCTGCTCTTCCTCCTCTGTCTCATCGTCCTCATGTGAGCTCAACCCAGAGGGAGGGAAGGTGAGGGGAGGGCAGGGGGAATGGGGCAGAGTTCTGAACCAAGGCCTGGGATCTTGATGGGTCAGGAGCAGGGCTGGCAGGAGGTGAAGGGATGGTCCATGAGGTCTCCATAGAGTCAGACCTCTTGAATGTCCCATAAGCCAGGTCTCCATGGTGGGAGGTACCTGCAGTGCTCAGGACGGTCTGTCAGGCCAGACACACACTTTCCCACTTCAGTATCCTCTCCAGGCCTTGAAAAGGGAACAGGGGATTGGGTCTGCTGCCCACTGGACCTGATGCAATCAGACTGAAAGATCCCGGTGTCTTCCCTCAGAGTCAGGTGCCACAGGAGGAAGGCCCCGAGGCCCCAAAGGAGCACAAAGGATGCAAACACAGTCTCAGGTTAATCCCTCAGGTGAGTGATACAGGTGTGTCACCACCCAACACCCACTGAAACCTCCCACCCGTCTCTCCATCAGCATTGCTAAAATGGAACTGTCACCTTCCTCCCCAAATCCACTTCTCTGCTGGGCTTCCCATCACAGTGATGACATGGTAGCCCCCTTCTCTAAGACCATCCCGTTCTCCTCAATCCACTAGGACTTGTCCATCCTTCTTCCTAATCACAGCCTATATTGATGGCCGTCTCCTGCTCATCATGCTGGGATTGTTCCTGTGGCCTCATCTCTTCCCTGGGTCCCTGAACCCACCAGCTACCTGTCTCCAGATTGTGTATCCAGAGACATATGGTCCACTTCCTGCACAGTGTGAACAATGACGCTTCCTCTCCATGGCCAGAGATGAGGTGCAACCACCACAGGCTGGACTTGAGGGCTCAGCGTGGTCTGTCTCCTACTGGAGTCTCCACTAGATTCTATTATCTCCCTGCATCTCACGTCATCTCCACATCTGGCTGGGCCAGGGCCTTTGTGACTCTGAGACTTTGCATGTGCAGTTCCTTCGGCTGAAATATCCTTCCCTTCCCATCCCTACATCTCCAACTGATGATCATACTTCTTAGTTAATAGTCATCCGATTGAACATGTGTGTGTGATTATTGTATAAGTTTGAATGAAATCATATTTAGTCATTTATATACAGACACTTTAGAAAGTATAAGAGAGCACCTACTATGTGCCAGCATTGTTGTACGTAATGGGGATGCAACCATGAACCTGGCATCAAAAATCTCTGTCATCCAGAAGCTGTCATTCTGGAAACAAGAGCATAAACTAAAAATAAATTTAAAAATTATTACTGCCTGTTGGATGGTGATATGTGTTTGGGGAGGAATCATACAAGGAAAAGATCAGGTGACATGAGGGACAATCCAACATCTGAGATATAAACTGTGATTTTGAGCCTAGACTTGATGCTGGTGAGAAAGCAGACTGTGTGTTGCCCTAAAGGAGATTAGCCAGGAAGATGGGGAGCAGTGTCCCAGCTCTGAGGCAGAAGCAGCCTGGTGTATGATAGAGACAAAACTCAGGTGTGACAGTCCAGGGGCGCCTGGAAGGGTAGACCCCTGGAGGGAGGTGAGACCCAATGGTGGGCAGCCTAGTGAAAGCTTGCAGCAAATGCAGGAACCTGGAAGCCATTGAGGAAATCAGAGATATGGTTGAACATTCTTTGTAACTGATTCTCTTGGAGGCTCTTTTCAGAATAGACTAGTGTCCACAGCAGCCAAACAGAGAATGGGGAGGAAACACAAGGCAAGAGGGGATGGTGGCTGAACCAAGGAGGTGAGGTGGAGAGTGAGGTTTAATTTCTGGATATATCTTGAAGTTCAAGTTGACTTGGGGACTGAAAGTCTAGAGTAAGCATAGTGCCCAAGTGTTTCCCATGAGCATCAGAAAGGATGGGTTGTGTTTGATGGACAGAGAGGAGGGTTTTGAAGGTGATGTTCATTCTGAGAAGACACAACTTCAGGAGAGAATTGGAGAAGAGAATATGGGAATAGTGGGTCCATACAACCCTTTGAGAAAATTGGCTGCAAAGAGGACAGAGGGATGAGTCTGGTGAAGGAGTCAAATACTCTTGACTCCTCCTCTGGGTCCTCCCAGAGGTGATCCATGAATTCCCGCCTGTATTGGTTTCCTGGGGCCATTGTGACAAATTCCCACACACTCTGTCTTTTAAAAAAATGGAAATTTAATCTCTTGGTTCTTGAGACCAGAAATACATTTAGGGAGTAAAAATATCTTCTCCCTCTGCCCTTCTAAGTTGTTGATGGAGACCTCAGAAACAAAGAAAGATTTGGTGCCACATCTTGGGGTAACATGTCCTACACCCCATCGTGTGTAATGAGTTCTATTGTGTAGAAATCCAGTTGTTGTTTGGGTGTACTTGGTCCAGAGGCTGGAGGGGAGAACCTGTCTCTTGCTTCTCCGGGTGATGGGGTACTGGCTGTCCTTGGTTTGTGGCTGCATCACTGAGACCCACCTCCTGGTCACATGGCCTCAACCTGCTCTGTGTGTAGAAAGTCACCTGCTATATCTATCTTGGGGACACTTGTGACTGCATTCGGGGATCAACCCTAATAATCTAGGATGTTCTTCATGTGAATATCCTTACCATATCTCATCAGCAAAGCTCCCCTTTCCCTTACATGGGAACATTTTGGGGTACTAGGGATTAAGACCTGGGTATCTCTGGGTGGCCATCATTCAGCCCTCTGCACTGCCCATGTGACCTTTTCAATCCTGGAATGTCTCCAGACCTTGTTTGCTCTGCTCTTCCATATCCCGATACATTAGTGGGTCACCTCATGAGTTACCCATATTTTAGGGAGCAGGAGCTCGCTCTTCTGTGAAAGTTACTTCTAAGAGAGCTAAAGGAGCTTGGCTGCTGTGGATCAGTGGTTGAGTGTCGACCCAGGAACCAAAAGGTCTCTGGTTTGATTCCAGGTCAGGACACATGCCAGGTTTGTGGGCTCCATCCCCATTAGGGGGCATGCAGGAGGCAGACCAACGATGATATTTCTTTCTCATGATTGTTTCTATCTCTCTCTCCCTCTCATTTCCTATCTGAAGTCAATCAAATAAAATAAAAACAGGAAATAAGGAGACTTTGAGAAGATATGGAGAAAATAAAACTCTCGGGCTTTGCTCTACATTCCAAGGCTTTGCATATGCTTATATATATATTATTGATTTTTTACAGAGAGGAAGGAAGAGAGACAGAGAGCTAGAAACATCGATGAGAGAGAAACATTGATCAGCTGCCTCTTGCAGACACCCC